AAGATGTAAACGAAGATTTATGGAGAGCGTGAAACAGAGAAATGGAGATGGGGAGAGGAGAATAAAAAAGCTGGACACCGGAAGGATAACATGAAAAGGGGAGCTTCTGTTTTTCACGACCACTTAAAAGTCCTCTAACTGTTGTTAAAAATTTAAGAAAGTGTAAAGTGGACTTAAAAATTAATGTGTAAACTTGCATGAATTTACAGTTGTGAGTTTTTCATCTTTTTATGCCTAAACTAAGATTTCTGTATTATGTATTTTTTATTTTATTGTCTATTGCTGGTTCCTCCTCCCCTTTTTTTTTATTGTCTCTGTATGCTCTTAAAGAACCCCCTGAGTTTCTTATACCTTATAATCCTCGACCCCTGGTTCTCTAAAGTTGTAAGGTTTAGTTCCTTTAATCATTTATTATTAGCTCTGCGTCTCGTCTCGAACCAAATTTCTAGATATTCTCTAGTTTCTGGACATATTCGGGTGAGTGCTGCCTACTCTGCTTCTGCACATCTGACATATAATATAATGTCCTGAAGGACTGTGGAGGTTCCTGAAGTTCCTGAAAGCTGTACTTGGTAGGTGCGTGTATGCGTGCGTGCGTTCGGGCTCACGTAGATACGTGTGCGTGTCTGGGCGGTGGGCACTGACACCACTCTTGGCACTTCCACCAATAATGGAGTGACTTGGAGAACCGAAGGTAAGGTCAAAGGTTTTGTCGTGCTCGCCTCCTGTTGTATTCTGTTGTCCTGTTGACTGCTCTTTATGCTTACCTCCCTCCTGTTGATCTCTGTTAACATATTGATACCCTATTGACCGCCTATTATGTTACTCTGCTTGTTACTCTACTTCCTGTTGCGACCTGGTGACGTTCTGTTATTACTATTTCCTGTCTTGTCTGGTTATCAATCCGTTTTGATACTGTTCTTCCTGTTGCGTAGTGTAGATAGTCTGTTGTTATACTTCTCTTCGTCGCATCACAGTCTATGCTTATGTAACCACCACCACCACATCTCTCTCATAAAAAACTACTCGGATGTATCGCCTTTTGCGGAAAATTTCATGCAAGATATGCAAAAACACGCTATGGTGGGACGAGTATTAGTGTCCCTGGCTTCACGGGAAAAGGAGGGCAGTACATCAGTGTTCTTGAACTTTGAGTGGGTCCAAGAATATTGGGAACCTCACAGCCGCCTCTAAACAGTGGGTACCTCAACCTTTCCTTCACTCTCCACAGTGGGCACCTCAGCTGACCTTTCCTTTACTCTCCACAGTGGGCATTTCACAGCCTCTCCAAACCCGCTATCATGATAGTGAATTTGATCAATTGTGTCGACTGTTCACTACATTTTTTGTTTCTTGCTGTCGGTTCTCATGTTATGTATCAGTATTATTTTAGCTGTCATATATTGCATAATTTGGCCTCTGTGAGGCCCGTATTTCAACATCATTGATTCCCTAAAGGTAACTGAAATCAGCGTTACGCCGTGTATTCTGTAAATGTTTTATTTTCGAACTGAATAACGTTATGGCTATAATCGTGCAATGCATTTTAAAAGAATATTTACTGGTGCATTATAAATAACACGGTTTCATTATGGATGTTTATAACCAATATTTTTATTGGACAAGGAGTACGAAAGATTATCAGTTTTATAGGAATGTAAAAAAAAAAAGTTTAAAATCCTAATCTTTCTTTTAAACTTCAGGTTTATTGCGCAGATCAGACATGTGCCGGTAAGCCAGCGATCACTGTTGTTCTTTGGCCAGCTTCAAACTAATAGCTAGGCTGCTAGAACATTATTAACCTTTGTGTTAAAAGGCTCGTTTATTTGTTTATATTTGTTAGTAGGCTCATTTGTTTAGTTACATTTGTTAGTAGGCTCGATTATGTATTTGGTTCAAAGCCTAGCGTCAACATGAGGGTCTGTCGGGAGGTCGTTCCTGGGGTCATCACCACTGACCAGGTCGGTGAGGATCTCTATCCAAAAAGTTGGACTTTCTTCTCTTTCTTGAATGGAACGCTTTGTTTCCCTCGCGTTCTTCCGGCGCTGTAAGACCCCTAAGAGTGTATCGCTTCCCGTGGATGTACTGCTATTACTACTACTCATAATAATAATACACAAGGGCTATTAAGGCTGCTTGTTGTAGCCTACACCACCAATCTAGGATCCTTTAATCCCTTAAATAAGGATTAATCCAGCCAAGACACGAACCTCAGCCTTGAAAACCAGTAATATATATTGAAGAATTTTGTTTTCACAACTTTTCCTCCTCTTATCAATCTCATTATAAACGAGATTGGTTATTGGTCACACGATTTTCGCAATATTTTGGGAAAAAATAACAATCTCCAATTTTCAGAAATATTAGTTGGATAATAAAATGATTTAGGATTTCAGTTTTAAAATAGTCATATCTGTAAATAAGGTGCGTAAATATTTATAACCGTGTTAGCAATATTTGGTTTTGATGCACTTCTGCTTTCTTTGAGAAGGAAATGTTTTAGGACGGTAGATACAGTGGTACACAATAGTTTTCTACCATTTTACTACAATGAGTAGCAGTTAGTTCGAAATAGCTCTTCACGCATCCATGTATCACACCGAGAGGTGTACCGTATCTCCGTGAGTATATACACCGAGAGTTCAATTTAATCCCTATTAAGTCGGGGTGAAAGATGTTTGAAAGTGAACAAAGTAACACTTATGAAGGGATTCAGGGAAACAGGTTAGCCTAGACTTGATCTAAGGATATAGGAAGTACAATGCCTGCGCTCTGACGGAGGGGTGGGGATGTCGCAGTTCGGAGGGATGTTTGAATTGCGTTGTCTGCATACTTCTGGCAAGACATATTGAATGAGTGATGGGGAATGTTTTTTTTTATACCCTACATTGATAGGAAACGGCTGGCGTGTTTAAAAATTATAATACAGGAAATATATATATCTTTCTTTCAACACACTGGCCGTATCCCACCAAGGCAGGGTGGCCCAAAAAGAAAAACGAAAGTTTTTCTTAAATTTAGTAATTTATACGGGAGAAGGGGTTACTAGCCCCTTGCTCCCGGCATTTTAGTCGCCACTTACAACACGCATGGCTTACGGAGGAAGAATTCTGTTCCACTTCCCCATGGAGATAAGAGGAAATAAACAAGAACAAGAACTAGAAAGAAAATAGAAGAATACCCAGAGGGGTGTGTATATATATGCTTGTACATGTATGTGTAGTGTGACCTAAGTGCAAGTAGAAGTAGCAAGACATACCTGAAATCTTCCATGCTTTTGAGACAGACAAAAGACACCAGCAATCCTACCATCATGTAAAACGGTTACAGGTTTTCGTTGTACACTCACTTGGCAGGACGGTAGTACCTCCCTGGGCGGTTGCTATTTACCAACCTACTACCTAGTGTGTGTGTATATATATATATATATATATATATATATATATATATATATATATATATATATATATATATATATATTATATATATAATATATATATATATATATATATATATTGGGGGGGGGGGTCGTTTCCTTGAGCCAGAAAAGGAAAGACCAGCTATTATGCCACTTTCAAACAAATAACAGTTTCCGACAGTACCTCCCTGGATGGTTGCTGTCTACTAGCCTTCTACCTATTCTCATTATACATGATTATATAGAATTATAGATTATAAGCAGACATAAACATTGTTTGGGTTAGTACTTAGTTTAAGATTTCCAGAAAATTTGGTGATAATTTATAGTTTAAATCCTACAGTAAGGTGTATGTTGTAATGGAACTAGTTTTATATTATGCAAATTGTTGTAAATTATTTTTTTAGGATAAATTAGGTTAGGATAAGTTGTAACCTAGCCTAACCCAAAAACCAGCTTACCAATCAATGTAAGCACCGTAACAGCATAATTTTAAAAGACAAGTGCCATGATTCATTTATTACTATGCATCTTAATATAGGAAAATATAGTGATAATCCGAAAAATACCTTTTACAACAATTTGAATAACAAAAATGTCTCCGTTATAAAATATACGTAATATTGTGTATATTAAATTATCACCAAACTCAATGGAACCCCTTAAGTAAACATTAACCATTGTGTAACGCGACTAGTGAAATGCATATACGTACACGGGTAGGAGAGTTGAATGTCATAGTTATGAAGTTGTGTTAGTTCATCTATACTGACTGTTGCTTCATGTGAATGTTTAACAACTCCTGTAGTACTAACTTGTGCACATCTAAAGTTTACCAGCTATAAATGCTGATTTACTGAAAGTTGACCCATACTGTTTGTTGTCGAATATAATAATGATAATAATCGTAATTATGCTCAGCGGGTGCGAGGATACTAATAGTTTGTGAGAGATGTACGCATGTTGTGGGAATCTCTGGATTTTAGGATATTCCAGCACCACACATACCTGTGACCGGTTTCCAGAGTTGTTCTAATATGGCAGCTCTGTCTTTATTTATCTTTATTTTACTAATATATTTCTCTCCTTTAGGTCACTTATTATGTATCTCGTTCGAGAGTTTTGATGTTGTGGAAGATCTTTTGATCCAATTAATTGGAGCTATCCTTACTTTGATCAGACCTGATTACCTTTTATTCGTACTGTTTCCTCTACTAATATATCGCTTCCCAACGAATGTATGCCATTTTGTGTGTCAGTTTGATGCGTTTTTTTTGTTACTCTGAGTGACGCCATCTTTGTGTAGGAGGAGTCCAGTATTGCTTAAGGTGTGTGGAGATTAATTTCTGCTATCTCTCTATTAATTTCTGCTTCTCCCAGCCTCTATGATTCATCGAGTGCGCATTCACTCATGCAATTGGACTCTCTTCCCATCAGGGAAAATGTTTGTCATTATGGCTGGGAGTTTCTTTGTGTGTGTGTGTGTGTGTGTAGAGGGGGTTTTGTGTAAGTCCTACTAAGTCTGCTCCGTCTCTCTGGTATAAAACTTAAATTTTTGTACAGTGTTTTGTTTTCTCGACAGATGAGCCGACCAACGTTACGTGTGAGCTCTACATTCGAAGCTTCGGCTCCATCAACCCCACCACCATGGTGAGTACCAAGACTTCATCAACCCCACCACCATGGTGAGTACCAAGGCGCCATCAACCCCACCACCATGGTGAGTACCAAGGCTTCATCAACCCCACCACCATGGTGAGTACCAAGGCTCCATCAACCCCACCACCATGGTGAGTACCAAGGCTCCATCAACCCCACCACCATGGTGAGTACCAAGGCTCCAATCCCACCACCATGGTAAGTACCAAGGCTCCATCAACCCCACCATCATGGTAAGAACCAAGGCTCCATCAACCCAACCACCATAGTGAGTACCAAGGCTCCAACCCCACCACTATGGTAAGTACCAAGGCCCCATCGTTCCCACCATCATGGTAAGAACCAAGGCTCCATCAACCCCACCAACATGGTAAGTACCAAGGCTCCATCAGCCCCACCACCATGGTAGGTATCAAGGCTCCATCAACCCCACCATCATGGTAAGAACCAAGGCTATCATTAACTCCACCAAAATGGTGAGTACCAACACTCCTTCAACCCCACCACCATGGTAAGTACCAAGGCTCCATCACCCCCACCACCATGGTGAATACCAAGGCTCTATTAACCCCACCACCATGGTAAGTACCAAGGCTCCATCAACCCCACCACCATGGTGAATACCAAGGCTCTATCAACCTCACCAAAATGGTGAGTACCAAGGCTCCATCCAGCGCTCACTACCACAAGTACCAGCAGTTAACCATGCTGTTAAAACCAGGATGTTAATCATACACTCTGTGTTTGGTATATTTTAACCTGCTCTCCCCCACACACACATGCTGAAGCTTCAGCCATGAGTTAAAAGCACCTGAGCTAGCTCTCTCTCTCTCTCTCTCTCTCTCTCTCTCTCTCTCTCTCTCTCTCTCTCTCTCTCTCTCTCTCTCTCTCTCTCTCTCTCTCTCTCTCTCTATCTATCTATCTATCTATCTCTATCTCGCTCTCTCCGTGACACTCATGGGTAAGAGTATTGTGAGGCTATAATAAAAAAAATAAGTAGAATCAACTATGAAGAAGAATGTGAATATAACAGCATATACGATAAATAATTTACAGATTTGTAAATTTGTTGACTTTTGTATTGTTTGCAGATTCGTTAAATTCATTGGTAGCCTAAGATGTCCAAATCAGGACACCCCCCCCCCCAAAAAAAAAAATACGCCAATACTACCGGTGATAAAAAAATTCTTATAAAGGTTGTGATTCGGTATATACAGGCGAGACTTGCAGTGACACAAGTGTTGAGTCATGAAGAACAAGATTGAAGAGCAACTTCATTAATACTTACGTCACACATCAATTTCATCATTACCTACATATCAAGTTAATCAGTACTTACGTAATATATCAAGTTCATCAGTACTTACGTAATATATCAAGTTCGTCAGTACTTACGTAATATATCAAGTTCGTCAGTACTTACGTAATATATCAAGTTCGTCAGTACTTACGTAATATATCAAGTTCGTCAGTACTTACGTAATATATCAAGTTCATCAGTACTTACATAATATATCAAGTTCATCAGTACTTACGTAATATATCAAGTTCATCAGTACTTACGTAATATATCAAGTTCATCAGTACTTACGTAATATATCAAGTTCATCAGTACTTACGTAATATATCAAGTTCATCAGTACTTACATAATATATCAAGTTCATCAGTACTTACGTAATATATCAAGTTCATCTGTACTTACGTAATATATCAAGTTCATCAGTACTTACATAATATATCAAGTTCATCAGTACTTACATAATATATCAAGTTCATCAGTACTTACATAATATATCAAGTTCATCATTACTTTACGCAGCACGACACAGTATTGTTTTGACTTTAGAATATAACACTTTCGTTGCAGAAGCAGGTGAAGCCAAAAGTGGGTATTGAGAGGCATCCACTATTCAAAGATGCACGCTTCACTTGCCCTGGTGAGGATTCTGATTCTGTACGCTGATGAGTAGACCCCCACTGACATGTCATACAACATATAACCCACCCGCATATGTTTTTGTTTCCCCTCCTGTCCCGCTGGCAATATTATCTTACTGTTGTGTCATTTATGAAGACTTGTGATCAATTTTAATAACAAAACAGTGAAAATTATTCTCATAACATATAATTATCTGTGGCCTTAAGTAATAAGGGAAGTGCATGAACATTAAAATATAAAAAAAACAGTATTTAAAACTGTTGTCTCCGGATGCTTTGTTGAGTTAAATACCATCAGCTTTAAGTTAAAACTATTTCCTGGACTGTATTGTGGGAGAAACACACTGAAGGTTTCCTGGATATACCTCAGCAAATATACTGGAAATATTTACAAGCTTAATGGAGAGAGATAATGGAATGAGCTCATATGCAGAGGCTTTTATTGGGACAATGTTTCCATCAGGATAGAGCTTTATCAAGTCATTGTATAGCTGTACCCTGACTATTGTTCCAATTAAAGCTTTATCAAGTCATTGTATAGCTGTACCCAGACTATTGTTCCAATAAAAGCTTTATCAAGTCATTGTATAGCTGTACCCAGACTATTGTTCCAATAAAAGCTTTATCAAGTCATTGTATAGCTGTACCCTGACTATTGTTCCAATAAAAGCTTTATCAAGTCATTGTATAGCTGTACCCTGACTTTTGTTCCAATAAAAGCTTTATCAAGTCATTGTATAGCTGTACCCTGACTATTGTTCCAATAAAAGCTTGTTCTACATGCAGAAAGGTTGGTTTTAAAATATGTTATAGAAGTCATTAGGCCTGAAATATGATCTGAAGCCAAAGATATATCACCGTCAATAAAGGTATAATTCACCTTTTATTACTTTTAAGATAAATATAAAAGTTTCAAGTAATTATTAAGCCGCAGACGCCCGCCATGATGTACATATTACTTTTATCGCATTTCAATTTTTTTCACAAGGAAAATGTCCACCACATAATAACTACTTCTTCATAACCACAACTACTTACCTCTCCTTCATAACCACAACTACTTACCTCCCCTTCATAACCACAACTACTTATCCTTCATACCACACTTACCTCCCATAACCACAACTATACCTCTCTCATACCACAACTACTACCTTCCATAACCACAACTACTTACCTTCCTTCATAACCACAACTACTACCTCCTTCATAACCACAACTACTTACCTCTCCTTCATAACCACAACTACTTACCTCTCCTTCATAACCACAACTACTTACCTCCCCTTCATAACCACAACTACTTACCTCTCCTTCATAACCACAACTACTTACCTCTCCTTCATAACCACAACTACTTACCTCTCCTTCATAACCACAAACTACTTACCTTCCTTCATAACACAACTACTTACCTCTCCTTCATAACCACAACTACTTACCTCCTCCATACCAATACTACCCATACCACAACTTACCTCTCTTCATAACCACACACTTACCTCCTTCATAACCACAACTACTTACCTCTCCTTCATAACCACAACTACTTACCTCTCCTCCATAACCACAACTACTTACCTCTCCTCCATAACCACAACTACTTACCTCTCCTTCATAACCACACTACCTTACACACTCTCCCTTCATAACCACAACTACTTACCTCTCCTTCATAACCACAACTACTTACCTCTCCTCCATAACCACAACTACTTACCTCTCCTCCATAACCACAACTACTTACCTCTCCTCATAACCACAACTACTTACCTCTCCTCATAACCACAACTACTTACCTCTCCTTCATAACCACAACTACTTACCTCTCCTTCATAACCACAACTACTTACCTCTCCTTCATAACCACAACTACTTACCTCTCCTTCATAACCACAACTACTTACCTCTCCTTCATAACCACAACTACTTACCTCTCCTTCATAACCACAACTACTTACCTCTCCTTCATAACCACAACTACTTACCTCTCCTTCATAACCACAACTACTTACCTCTCCTTCATAACCACAACTACTTACCTCCCTTCATAACCACAACTACTTACCTCTCCTTCATAACCACAACTACTTACCTCTCCTTCATAACCACAACTACTTCCCTTCCCTTCATAACCACAACTACTTACCTCTCCTTCATAACCACAACTACTTACCTCTCCTTCATAACCACAACTACTTACCCTTCTCCCTTCATAACCACAACTACTTACCTCCCTTCATAACCACAACTACTTACCTCTCCTTCATAACCACAACTACTTACCCTCCCTTCATAACCACAACTACTTACTCCCATACCAACTACATTACAACTACTTCTCTCCTTCATAACCACAACTACTTACCTCTCCTTCATAACCACAAACTACTTACCTCTCTCATAACAAACTACTTACTCCCCTTCTAACCACAACTACTTACCTCTCCTTCATAACCACAACTACTTACCTCTCCTTCATAACCACAACTACTTACTCTCCTTCATAACACAACTACTTACCTCCCTTCATAACCACAACTACTTATCCTTCATAACCAAATACTACTACTTTTCTCTTCATAACAAACACTACTCCTTCAAACAAACTACTTACACTCTTAATAACCCCAACACTACTCTCATAACACAAACTATTATGCTCTGTAACAAACTTACATAACCTCCCTCATAAGCAAATGCTTACTCTCTTCAAACCCAATAACCACCCTATAGGAAATACTTATCCTAAACACTATTATTATTTAACACAAATTTAACCTCTGCTTGCATAACACAACACTACAGAAGCTCAGCGAATTGAGTCCTACATCAATCGTCTGAAATACTCATCAAGAATTTAGCATACATTGATGAACACACAAAGCTGAAATGAAAAAGTCAGGCTATTGCAGTAAGAAGTACAATTAGAGATCATTCAAACACACTTCCACTAAGATACAAACACACAAAGGCTTAGATACCCTGATTGTGTAACAATAATTTAATCTCATGTCTGCGTGTTGACGTGAATCCAATGGAATGACACTTG